AATTATAAAATAATACACGCATTAATACATATATTTCTTTTCTTTTACTTAAGCAGATTGATGTTATAATTTACAAATAATTATAAACTATATATAATTACTATATATAATAGTAATTTTATCGATGTTCGTACTTTTTTATCGCATATCTTGGACAATTACCTGAAACTCGAGACGTTTCTATTCTTGCCGATGCTAAAAGTATAAATACTATATCTCTCTCTTCACGAGAATTATTACACGTCTAGACAACAGCAATAGCTGCAAATTTTTTTCCGATGAAAAGAAATCTAGATTTCGCAATTTTCTTCAATGAAGTTCAACGTCTCTTCGTATTATTCATTGTTTTGTGCTAAATCCTACCACCGGACATGATTCACATGTTATCGCGTTTGTATGAGAGGTATTGATAACCGGTTAATATAGATTCCCATATCTGCATCTCGATAGTCAGTGGAAAACCATCTTGAGTAACTGATTCTAAGAATCAATTTTTCCCATGTTGCCATGTGTAAGAATAGATTTTAAATAAGTGGAGAGATTGATTGTGCTGAGATTAAATAGGTCTTTTTGATGTGATCTTATTCTGTCTTATTTAATTTAATCAATATATCTTAAAAATTTGAGAATGAAAAGATTTATATATTTTTTGTCTTCCATCTATTTCTATTTTATCTTTCTGTTTCATTTATAATAATTAAATTGCATTCTATGGCCGAAATTCAATGTGCTGTATTTTTTCTTTTATTTGTTTTATTCTTTTTCCGCCCGACACACACACACACACACACACACATAATGTAATTTAATATGAGAAATTACGCGACAGCAAAAACATATGCATCTGCAAGTATATAACAGAGATGAGGACCTTGCTATTATTGTTAGATCAGCGTAAATGCTGCGCGTATAACACCGAGGAGCTCTATGTATATTAAGTAATAAAAGCGTTCTTACAGTTGCTGTTGCATAATCATGGATTCAAAGTCGATTCTAAAAAAAAAAATTATTATTTCTTATTACCTTCTGATAAGCTTTTTGCGATTTAACGAAAAATTCTTCCTCGCGATTATCTTACTTTTCTTGAGTGTTAATTTTTTCGAATTAATTTAAATGTGCGTATGTGTGTGTGTAATCAACAACTTGACTTGTTTTATTTTATCTTAATTAATTTAAAATTCAATCCTTTTTAACATTTCAAGATATAATTAATTATAAATTAACTTTATATATAATCTAATTATTTCTTTATTTTGTTTTGATTAAATTAAATTTAATAAAACACATTTTTTTTATTTGATTTTCAATTTATTTGTGATTTTAATAATATTTTTTAAGTTGAATTGAATACACTTCTCTCTCATCTTATAAAAGATATAAAATATATGATTTATATATGATTTATACTACATATTTTTTATCTCTCTCTCTCTCTCTCTAATTTTATTTAATTCGAATTAATTAGAAGTAATCTTATTCAGAAACAAAGCATTAAATTAATCGCGTGCAATTTATATTAAATAATCAATAAAATCAGATTTTAATCTATAAATCAAAGACTACACATTAAGAATTGCGTTACATTTGCAATGTCACATTTTTTTTTGATAAAACTAAATATCACGCAGCATATCTATACAACGTTTATTAAAAGGTGTACATTTTTCTTAAAAGTTGCGTTTTTCTATATTAAATACATTAAAAATGTGCTAATAATTGCAAAGCATCTCGCAATAACATACAATGCGTTATAAGAGAAAGAAAGAAAGACTGTGAGCAAAACGAAACGGCTACAGCCTACCGTCATTCAGTTATGCATCGTGATAATGTGACGTAAAGATGCAAGTCCATATCCACAACCACAGCATAGTCGACTTTCTGTCACGCGCGACTGGCGCGACAACTATGACGACGCACGCGAAATATAATAATGTGCGGGGGGGGTGATTCGAGGGGACAGTCGTGCAGATGTACCGTTTGAATTTCTTCGGGGTGGCGATTGGCCGTTTGATCGAGCGCTCACCAATCGCGATCGTACTCGGTCGCGACGTCACAGGGCCGTATAAGAGACGGGCATGCGTCGTTTTCCGATTCAGATGCGCGCTGGCCGTCGAGCGATGAACGAAGGGAGTTGACGTGGAGTTGACGTCGCGTCGGCTGCGGCCTTTCAGCAGTTGGAGACGACGCCGCGTGCCGTCCTTCTGGACTCGCGTTTCACGTGGTAATAGGGTAACCAAGAGAGAGATATCCCCTTCCGGATGCTCGAGTGCCAGGGATATGTAAAACTAGTCAGTGCGAGTATATCGCGCGAGTGTAAATAATAGTGATATCCTTGTCGTTAGTGAAGCGAAAAGTCGAGAAAAAGAGAGCGTCGAAAGTGCACGTTGGTAAAGTTACTTGATAGAACGAGACGGAATTAGGAAATAGCGCGTGCTTGAAGAAAGTAACCTAGAAAAAAATCCTACGTTCCCAAAACATAGATAGAGAGAGAGAGAGAGAAACTTCAAGGTAAAAATCTGCATTTATCTGCGAGAAAAACATGAATGCGAAAGTATCGGAGCGAAAGAAGGTCGTACAGCATTCCTAATCCTTTAAATCAGCCGTACGGCCAGATTAAAGAGTATAAAAATCGAAAGAAGATCTCGTTTCTCGACATGGAGACAGCTGATTGATTCATGACGTTACAACTCCGCGTGTAACATACAAGCATAAAAGAGAGAAAGAGATACGTAGACTGAGAGATATTTTCCTTGTTTTTTTTTTAGAATTCCCGTATCGGGAAAACCCAGAGCACGTCTTGAAATCCTTAATGAATAGAAGATACATATCTTGCTATACTTTGCAGAATTGTCGATACGTATAATTCTAAAAATTTAATCCCATCTATTGAAAACTACTTTTCCAAACTTGGATCACGCAGAAGCTCTCGATACTATAAAGAAAAAAAATCGTGTTATAATTTTGGAAATTTGAGTACCCTGGAGAGACTCAAAGATCAAGAAAACTCGGATCTCTACGAATTTCCGGTTTCGAAAACACGGTTAGCGAAGATAGGCAAATTCGCGAGGCTGTACCAGAAATATAGAAAGATGGTTGGCAGCAACGGGACCATGATTGCGATCCGCCTTGTCCGCAGCAAGCTGCGGAAACGCGAGGATCAGTCGAGCACGGACGCGGTGCACCCTGAAGCTACGGTGGTGCAGACGGCGACCTCGCCCGGGACGATCGGGACGGCGCCGACGACACACCCCGACGATTGCTGCACGCAGATATCCTCCTCCACGACCACTATATCGACCGATATCGGCAACAGTGTTTGCAATGAACACGTCTATGCTGCGACTACGGTCACGCCGTCCGCCAATCCCGTCGAGCCGTTCGCGTGGCAATTCCCGCCCCCGTATCCACCACCCCACCTGCCGCCAGCGCAATACACGTTGTACAACGATCAGGTTGGTATACACCTTGTATATATCTTGTATTTTATATCTGCGGTGTTGATGGTTCTTAATTTTTGTTTTTGTGGAGAAAAACCTGAAAACAGTAGGTTTTTACTTAAAGATTATAGTATCGTGCATCAATAACAAATAGACAAATTGAAAAGAACGATGTTAAACTCCCAGAATATCTCGAATTTTTTTGAGAATCACTGAAAGAAACATGATAAATACGCTATGTTCAAAGTTAATGCCACTAACTTAAACTAATCGTGTCTTACCGCGTAAATATTAATTTTTTACATTTATTACGAGTAATATTTATATATTCTTAAAAAAATATAACAGACATTGGAAACATCAACATTTGCTATTTATACTTGGTATTTAAATTACTTTGATGCATACATTTCTTTTCCTATATATTTATTTCGCCATGTTTCAAATTTTTTATATTTTAATTGATTTTACAATTATATTATCTGTTAAATAATCGTATAAATTAGTCCTGTAAATAATAATTAAAGAGTTTTCATAAAATTTTTTGATAAATATTAACAAGGAAATACCAGAATAATAACCGAAAAGCGCCAACTTTTTTTAATGCCAATCTTTAATTGTTTTAGAAAAATTGATAATCTTATACAATTAAAGACTTATAGTGTCTTATACAATCTTATATACTAAAACTATTTTAACATATTTTTTTTTACGTTTTTCTATAAGATATAACAATAATATGGAAGAGAATATCATTTTCAGGCACTTTCTGTGTTCCAAGTCTTTTGCGCGGTAAGACTCGATTAGCTTAGGTCAGTGGCATTAACTTTGAATATAGCGTATTTATCATCTCAGTGGTTCTCAAATTAGAAATTCTGGAAATTTAATATCGTTCTTCGCCAATGATCTATATATTATTAATGTTCTATCTATTTACTTAAAGAAAATTCGTAATATGCAATAAAAGATAAAAATCTAATTTCTTTTTTTCAAAATCTTTTTTTCTTCTAAGTTTTTTAACTTACCTAAAAATATATTGAGATTTTCAAAACGTTTCTAAATTCCTTAACTCAATAGCTTTTATCAGATGACTGATCATAAATCAGGAATCGATGATATCGAAGCAGATATAGGCAATCGTTGATCATTCTTTCTCGCGATCTATCAGTTGATCTAACCGTCTCAACGGCTAACCGCCTAACCGGTGGAGCCAGTATTACCAGATTTTACTGGTTTGTCCCTGCTACACTGTCCAATGACTCGAGGACATGCGATGTCGACCGGAGATATCCAAAAAAAGATTCGCAAGCGTAGAAAGCGGTAAACGCAGTTGCGGCTGAAATTCTGTAAGGGTCGATTTCCTTACGACAAAGACGCACGATAAGTCTTACAAACTCCTTTATGCACGCTCCAATGTTAATGTCCTTACTTCAATTTATATTCCAAAAAATTGATCTGCAATTAAATAATGATTCAATCTTAAATGAAGTTTAATTCTTATTTTAAATTGAAATATCTTTTTTCAATTTTAAATGAAGAGTTTTAACTTGAAATTAAGTGAAATGTGATTTGCAACATTGTATTTACAATATATTTTTTCTGTGATTTCGTATCAAAAGTTTGATCAAAATCTTTTCCCCAAAAAATCAATAACAAATTTACCGTAAGATATATTTGAGCTATTAATTTTAATAATTTTTGATACATTTTCTATAATACTAAAAATAAAAAAGTCGATCGATAGTCGGAACAGTGACCTGCGGCCATCGCGGTTTTACGCTACTTTGTGGACGATCGATTATTCCCGCGGTTCAAGCCGCGATCGCTGATAGGCTGCAGAGTACCTTTTACCGCTTTAATTCAACGTGGAAAAGTCGATTCGATCACGACGAATACAACGTTTTTTTTTTTTTTTATTCGTTTCTCTTGATATTGTTACCTAAAAATAACAAAATATTATAAAAATCTTCTTTAGTGAGCTTATCCTTATTGCACAATCAAGTCATGATACAATTTAATGATTCTGCAATAAAAAAATTTGCATATAAAGAAGATCTGATTAGAAAAATTAATTTCTTTATTTAGAAACGGAAAATTAAAAAAGTAGCCTTATATTTAAAACACTTGAAATAATCGTCGTTATCGAATTCAGGAAAATAATCTCATTATAATAACACGTTATTAATAAGTTAACAATGTATCGTAAATTCTTAGTTGCATTGTGATAACTGTAATTAATTTTACACGGAAATAGTTCCGCGATAAAATTATTTTATTAGATCTAATAAAAAGCGATAGAATGTACCTATAAATACACCAGTGAAATGGGTGCAGCTCTTGACGCTTCTCCAACCTGACACTAAATTTAGCGTCGCCGGTGGGCGTCAACGTATCGTCGAGTACCGAATAGGCTGCAGCTGTTGAGACGTTCATTTCTTGAAAAAAATATCGTTCCTCCGTCTGCGATATTGGCAGGATTAGAATCGCCGCAATTTTAGCTAATAATATAAATCTGTGGTGAGCTGTAAACGATAAAACTCTATTATAGCCGCTAAATATTCAATCTTATAATCTTCAAACAATTAAAGAAAGGCAAACCGCATTTGAACATGCAAATAAATAAGAAATCTTTTATTTTTCGTTCGATTTTAAATGGATTTTGTTTGAGTAGAATCTTGATTTAAGTATATTTAACAGTATAATTAATATTAAAATTCTAAGACTGAAAAAATATATTATCTAGTTAATATTCTTTTTATTAAATCCATTTTTAAACCCATTTTTTGACAACTTTGTTCTACATAATATAACTTGATCAATTTATAATAAAGATTAATAGCATAAAAATACAAAACCTTCTTTTTGGTTTTACAGGATACTCTTGTACACGCCTTGCCGTCGCATAGGCCTGGATTCGCGAAGGGCTTCCGCAAGAATCTCGGCGGACGCTGGCGTCGGTTGGTAAAACGGAAAGCCGAATCGGATACCTGTGCCATTCCCCCCGAACTGAAGGATCAGTTGAAGACCATCTATGTCTATTGACGAGTGAAAGCCTGTCCTGAGAAAGAGTCTTTAAAAATTATCAATAAAAATCTGTCAAACATGAAAAAAAATTGATAAAAACAAGAAGAGACTCTAGTCAAAAAGTCGAAAAAGATATGAAAGAGATTGACAGGAATGAAAAGAAAATTAGGAGAAAAATGAAAAGGATATGAGGAGTTGCTAAGAATATGAAAATGAGTGATAAAAACACAGAGATAACTGATAATAATGAAAATGGCTAAATAAAATGCGAAGAAGATTGGTAAAAAGAAGAAGAATTGGCAATGGATTGAAATATGTTCAGGGAAGGAACAGTGTGGGTCGATTTAATGATAGTTGACATATCAGAAAGTGCCTGAAGAAGATGCCTGATCGAAGTGCCTTCTTTTATTCCACGAGCGCCTTTCTCACGAGACTGATACCGCGAAGAAACCGCGATACATGGGTGCGACAAAACGAGTTATCTCGTAGCTTCTGCCTATACGTTTCTGCGCACTTATAGTATAATCGATAGATCGCCGTATTTCGGGTAATTAACTAGTATTAGTATGTCGGCTTGATTTACGGAAAATACGAGCAGCCTGCGATCAATTATTCAGCGAGTTTCAATATTTTCCAAAACTCAATTCCTAAATCTGTTTTGGATTAGTCTCGATCGAATCTCGATTTACAGTTTCAGTAAGTCAATAATCGCGATCTCGAGAGGAAATTCAATATTGTAAAACTTTAAGTATTATTTATTAAGAAAAACAGTAGTATATAATTTTCCTAAAGTGCAAACTAGTCGTATGATGGATGGGAAAACGCAGCTGCTGTGTCATCGTGCGTTATATTACTCTGACGAAATAACACAACGAAACCAGCAACAATCCGTTCTTTATTTAATTTATAAGTAAACAAAGCGTTCAAAGCTAAAGTGGATCAAAGATATATTTTAAAAGGTTTTTTTTTTTGGATACTATTACATATCTAAAGCTAAATTTACAAATAGAATAGACTTGATCCATTTTGGCTTTATCTCGTGAATTTCTTCTTGGGCAGTAGATTTTTAATCTACCTTTTGTATAAACAAAGTCGATCGTCCGCTTGCTCGTTTCCGTAATTAATTTTCGTAGCCGCTGACCTAAACATGTATAAATAAAATGTAGCGATTTTTGGATGTTCGCGGGATATATGATTTAATCAACAAATGGACTTTGGTATTCCTAAAATCCTCGGGAGCCTGAAGAGAAGAGGGTTCTAGGATTCATGAATCCAAAAGTTCCTCCCGCTTAGAACAGAATACGGCGCGTAATAATAATAAGATAGGCCAATTTATAAGTTTGAGTCGAATTATTATGACGGCTCATATTGAGCTCGCATCATTGTAACGCTGACGTGATATTTCATTTGTACGCTCGCATTAGGCCTTTGACCGTTATTGATTCACAATTTAATATGTATTCGACGAGAAAATAAAGTATTATAATAAATATTATATTATTTAAAGGATTATAACAAAATATAATGTTTAAGAATATTATCATATAATTAAAAAAAAAGAAAATCACGAAAATTGTTTATGTGATAAATTAATTGGACAATTATTTCTATATTAAATTTCTATACAGTTAATTTCAGAAATTGGGCAAATAATGAAATATTTATTTTAGTAATTTTTATTTATAACTGAATTGAATATAATTTTAATGATGACTTCTTTTTTAAATTGTCGGTTGAAGGGTTGCACTGCGTAGTGATGCCATGAAAGAAGTTTTTTGCGTCAGCAATTAATTAATTTATAGTGATTGACGGAGATGATATTCGATGAATGTCCGAGAAGTTCTGCAAATTTTTTTGAAATTGTCATAAAACTTAAAATATATTTATAAATATGAAATCTTTTTTATCTTATCAGAATTCATTGAAAATTAATTTTTTTTAAAAATACCATGGATATTCTATATTACAAACAATTATTTATATAATTTTGATAGATTTACAAAAATTGACATATGATAGTGATTACTTTAATTTCCATTATTTCACATACATAGGTCATTATTTTTATAATATTTTAATTATTTTTTATATCTTTCGGTATTTTCTCTATTGGTAGAGATATTTTTTATCTTTGTACTAATTTCTATGAAAATATGCAGTACTTCGCGAATGATCGAAAACCCAGAAGATGATAATCCTTGTTATTATATTGCAGATTGTAAATAGAATAACGGGAAATCTGTCGATGTTTAGAGTTATATACTTTCACGAGCATAATCGACGAGATTTTTCTTGCAATGATGATTTAATGATGATTCAATGTTGTATTGACTCGCGACTTCAATTTTTGAAGTATTGTAAAAATATGAGAAGAGAAGTTATAATACAAGTTTTTTACACAATGGACACACAAAATATTTAACCGATACTACATTGTGTATTATTATAAGTAGTTTTATAATAACTCAATGATTAATTTGTCAATTTTTGAAGAAGAAAGAACAACTCAAAAAGGTAATCCTTACTAACCAAAGCTAGATAATTGAAGTGATCATTTACCGAATATACATTTCATTTCTCATAAATATAATTTAAATTAAAAATGGGATAAAACATATTGCGATCCAAATTTTAATATTATAGTATTCTTTAAAATAAATATGAGATTTATCTGGACACAAAATTGAGATAAAATATTAATATCAAAAATTGTGTTACAAATAAGAAATGTAAAATATTAAATAAAATTCTTTATTAATACACTTAAGTCGCGTGTCATAAAGTGTATGATGTTGTGAATGTGTAAATATCGAATACCATTAACGCACCTGATTGTACAGTGGAATTGTACAGCACATGCCGTTTTTGTTCTTTTTCTCCGTCTTCTTTTTTGTAAATAATCAGTATCAAGACGGGGCTGCGAGTTCCCGTCGCCTAGTCACTCATTCAATTAATATTTCGTTGAAATGTTGTAATTGTAACAATGAAAACCACTCGGTGCAGCTTTCTCTCTTCTGTCTGAAATTAAATAAAGAAATAAAAAGATGTTGCATATATAGAAAGAAATTGTGTAATTTATTCGACTTTAATGTACAATACACAAAATATTTCGAAATTTCTTTCTTTCCTTCTTATATTAGTGCAGATTTCTTTTGATTCTAGTTTGTAATTAAATTGATTAGTTTTATTGATCAATATCTTACAATCAAGATAAAAATCTAAAGAAGAAATAAAATGTTTCTTCAAATTTTGATTGCATTCCGATATTCACTGCCAGTATTGAAAATCTGTAATATACATGATGTAAACTATAAATTTGAATATCGAAAAACAGTCTTTATGTAATAGATCAGATTTATAAAAAGAATTTCTCTATTAAAAATTTGGTTACAAAGAATATATACTGATTAAAAATATTGCCTTTCTTCCTCGCCGTGATTATATGCTTGACTGACAATGAGCAGAAAACTGGATTAAATCCAGCCACCGACATTTATATTCTAATATTTGTGGATATTTGACTAAAAATGAATCAAATTGACGCTAACGTCACGATGAAGTCACGTGACTATGCTCAACGTTGCAATAAGTATCCAATGAATTTGAGTATATATCAATTGGACAATGTTTATTGGCCAGCTGAAAATGGAGCCCTTCCATTGGTCAATCGTGTTGATTGTCATAAGCGCCGGTCGATATGATTGGTTGTCCAATCACACTTTGTCCAAATGAACCTCTCCCATGAATTTGCGTCTTAATGCTAGTCTATATATTTTGTGTGTCTATGGTTATAGAAATCAGTGCTGACAATCAACATTGTTTGATTTTGTCAGTACTCTAACCAATTCTAACCCTGAGCGATTACTTGTTTCATTTTATAGAAGACTAATGGACACTGTGTCAAAAAGCTGTATCTATAACTAGAAACACATTAAACTCTATAAAAAAAAGGAATTTTGATCTGTCATCCGTCGAGCGATTTTTAAATGCCACACGACAAAAAGATCACGCGGCGCAGTCGATCTCGCGACCGTGAACGGGAACGTGACCGTGAACGTGAGCGACGGGACCGTCGACGCAGCAGGAGTCGTTCCAAGGATCGTAAGAAAGATAGGAAACGGTCCAGATCGAGGGAACGGTCGCGAGAGCGGGACAGATCGCGAGAGCGCGATAGATCCCGCGAACGCGACAGATCGCGGGAAAAGGATCGAGAACGCTCGAGAGACGGTCGAGGGGATATCAAGGACAGATCCAAGGATGAGAAGAAGCACAAGAATAGTCCTGCGCTTGTCGAAGATGACTCGAAGAAGGATCCAAAGAACGATATTAAAAAAGATGAAGAAGAGACGGAGGAAAAGGTCAAGCAGACGCTAAAGAAGGAACCATTGAGTCTGGAGGAATTGCTGGCCAAAAAGAAGGCAGAGGAGGAAGCTCGAGCTAAACCAAAGTTTCTCACCAAAGAGGAGCGCGCAGCCATAGCTTTGGAGAAACGACAACAAGAGGTAGACGCAATGAAGAGACAGCAGGAAGAAGAGCTTAAGTCTATATTTCATAACGATAACCCTGGAAAGGAAAGAGAATGGGATGATAGAGACAGGTATCTCGATTATAATTTTCCATTTTTTAAGTATTTTATATCATATATAAAAAATTTCATTTAGTATTAAGACATATTATATTCCTACTTCAAAAGAATGATACAAAATAAATAATTCTTAAAAATTGAATATTTTTAATAGGAGAAGAGATGGACAACGTTTGCGCGAGGATGAAATTAAAGATAAGGATAAAGAGAAAGAAGTGGAGGCTATCAAAGAAAGATACTTGGGATTAGTGAAAAAGAAACGACGAGTCAGAAGACTAAATGATCGAAAATTTGTCTTTGATTGGGACACTTCAGAGGATACCTCTGTGGATTACAACAACATTTACAAGGAGAGGCATCAAGTGCAGTTTTTTGGTAGAGGCAATCTGGCTGGTATTGACATAAAAGCTCAAAAACGAGATCAAAGCAAATTTTATGGCGAATTGCTAGAGAAGAGACGCACAGAAGCTGAAAAAGAGCAAGAAAAGTGAGTTTTTTTGTTGAAAGAATAAACAAATACTTCTATCAAATTTTTTTATTATGTTAAATTATTACATTATTCATTTTATGAAATAGTTGGAGGAATTATTTGTAATAAATCCCACTTTTCTATTTTTTAAGAATGAGATTGAAAAAAGTGAAGAGAAAAGAAGAGAAACAAAAATGGGATGATCGACATTGGTCTGAAAAGGCATTGAACGAAATGACTGAACGCGATTGGCGTATCTTCAGGGAGGATTATAATATCACGATAAAGGGTGGTCGTATTCCTGATCCTATTCGTTCTTGGAAAGAGTCCGGTTTTCCGAAAGAAATTCTCGACATCATCGACAAAGTGGGCTACAAGGATCTCACACCCATCCAACGACAAGCAATTCCTATTGGTTTACAGAATCGAGATATTATCGGCGTTGCTGAGACTGGTTCAGGAAAGACACTAGCCTTCCTGATTCCACTGCTATTATGGATTACTAATCTGCCAAAAATTGAAAGGCTCGAAGAAGCGGATCAAGGACCCTACAGTATTATCCTGGCACCCACACGGTAGCAATTGTTCCTCTTATTCTTGTATAACTTTGTTTTTATTGTGGATGCAAACGCATACATTTATTTTTTATATTTCAAATATTTAGCTTATTGATATTGATGGTTGATTAATTGAACAAAAAGTTACAAAAAACATTGCTGGCTATAGATAAATATCTGGTTTGTGTTGCAGTGAGTTAGCGCAACAAATAGAAGAAGAGACCAACAAATTCGGACAACCTTTGGGTATCCGGACAGTTGTAGTAGTAGGTGGTCTATCGAGAGAGGAGCAAGGTTTTAGATTGCGAATGGGTTGTGAGGTAATAATTTTTGGAATGCATTAATATTTATATATATGTAATACACACACACATATATGTAACAAGCGATTTCATCAACTTCCTTCAAATCGAATGATGTGAAATTGACCAAAATCGAAAGTAATGTAAAATATTCAATTAAGGATTTTTTTTCAGATTGTTATTGCTACACCCGGTCGATTGATAGATGTTTTGGAAAATCGATACCTCGTGTTGAATCAATGTACTTATATCGTGCTGGATGAAGCCGATAGAATGATAGACATGGGTTTTGAGCCAGGTCTTTTAAGCATTTATAACAAATTCCTAATGTTCTACAACTTAAAAAAAAATTAAAATTTGTTTGAATTATTAACATCTTTGAAATCTGTCATAGAGATATTATACTCTTTTTCTTATAATTCTTCTAATTCTTTGTAGATCTTATATTAACTGAATAAATATTTTACTGTAATTCAATGTTTTATAAAAATTATTATTCTTACAGACGTTCAAAAAATTTTGGACTACATGCCTGTCACGAATTTGAAACCGGACAACGAGGATGCGGAAAACGAGGAGAAGCTTCTGGCCAACTACAATACAAAGAAGAAATACAGACAAGTA